TGGATTCTTTTTCATTGCCGGGCATCTCCGAGCTCCATGCTACTCAAGGTGGTACAGTTATTTATACACTGACTAGAGTTTCTGGAATTTCAAGGGAGCTATATGGAAAATTATTTTCTCGATGTAACAACAAGACATATTTTGATATCGAATTCTATAGAACTCAGCAGCGTCATAACTCTATATTCATACCCGCACGGTGAATAACTTCTTCCTGAGACCCATACGCTGCAATCCAGAGGAACAAGCATGAAGACAGCAGTCACGTTGTGCTTAAGAGTTGCTGGTAGAATTCACTTTGCCGATGTTAGGTGTTTGAGAGCATTCCGAAGAATCATTCTCAAGTACCCATGAACATCGTACTTGTGGTAGTCTCTGCAATTCCATATTTTTTTTTATTGTGCTCGATTATTTTTTATTGGTTTCCTACCCAGCAACTTGATACTGTAATACTCACCCATAACGGGAGCCGGACAGGATGCTTCGTGATTCTACGAGAGACCTGAAAAGCAATCCGGTAAGCGGTTATGCTCTTAGAGGATTGTATAAGATTTGCAGAAGATAAGAACAGAAGGCATAGTTTCAAATTAAACTTCGTTTTCAAGCATTCGGTCAGACTAATGAATCACCAAACGTCATATACCGGTTTCTAAGCTAAACGTTACTCTTGTGGGTATCAGATGCAGTGAAGATTCCACAAGGAAAAATAGTCTTACGGGATTGCATATTCAACTGAGCTCAGGGTTAGCTCGAAATGTGTTAAAAAAAGAAAGAAAGTGATTGTGTGATTCTGATGGACTCTGTAGTGGAAGCATTGTCATGTCCTTTATACTAAGGTCCCACAAAAAATATCAAAAGAATCTAGTCCACCATCTTCACTTTCTCCTTTAAAGTGAACTGGCTTAAGTTCAATACAAGCCAGAACTGAGAGAGAATATACTAAAGGATTGTCAGTTACGATCTGAAAATATCTAAGATATATTTCAATGTGTGTACCACTGACTGGTACCACCCTGAAAAATATAAAATAATCTTGTAATATTGTGCATTTTTTGGAAGTGGTTGCATTAAGATTCAATGCCAACAAGAGCGCTGGTGTCATCTGACTTACTTCAGAACACTTTTTATGTATACGCTTATGTGAGCAAACTTATGTGAGCTATTTCTAGCAAACTATATCATGAGATTTTCAACAGACCATGTGACCAACTGTAAAATTTCAATAAAATTTTGTTACAAGTACTTCAATGGATTTATGCAGAATCTAGAAATTTTGGGTCGTAACCATGATGAGAATACATAAAAAAAAACCAAATAATATGGGTAATTTTTTTTTTAAATAATTTGTTAAGTAAACTGATACCAGAGTTGTTTGTAGTACTTTCATGAAACACATTTTAGTCTAATATTTGGCTGCATTCCAATCTGAATGAGAGAAGTACTAAGAATTAAGTCATTATTTAGAGTTTTTAAATGATTTTTTGTATCAACATTTCCCTTTATTTGAGGGTCAGTGCAACCTAAATGAACAATGCCTAAGGAGTGTTGGTGTGTGTAGTATGTTGATATCAAAAAGATTACTTACCATGTTTCAATCACCTACTTGGTTTAACTTGGTAATAAAGTCGGAAGTCACACCGAGTATGGAGGAACACGCTTGTTGTGTTCTTATGTTTTCTTGACCTCATCATCCACACAATCAAATGAGGAGAAATTATAAATATAAATAAATCAAAGAAACTAGAATCGGGGAGTAGAACCCAAGAATGTAGTTGTAGATATTCTTTACATTAATCTGGCCAATGTAAATCAGCGTATAGTTTTATTTAGTAACAAACCTATTTAATGCAAATAGTGTTGCAATCAGCTTAATTTTTATTGATTCAGATCTTTCATCAATAATATATTTAATAGACTTAGTTATTAGGGTGTAAAGTATAAATAAACAAAACCAATATCTAGACGATTCATTGTGATATTCGAACAATACTTGTCTGTATAATATTTCGTAAAGCAAACTACTCATTAACATTATAATTGAAAAAATATTGCATGACGTGAATTCGGCTGCTGGACTAAGAGTCTTTCCTTCATTCTTTTTCAATGCCGGTCATCTCGGAGCTCCATGCCACTCAAGGTGGTACACTTATTTGTACACTGACTAGAGTTTCTGGAATTTCAAGGGAGCTATATGGAAAATTACATTCTCGATGTAACACCGAGACATATTTCGATATCGAATTCTATCGAACTCAGCGGCGTCATAACTCTATATTCATACCCACACGGTGAATAATTTCTTCCTGAGACCCATACGCTGCAATCCAGAGGAACAAGCATCAAGGCAGCGGTCACGTTGTGCTTAAGAGTTGCTGGTAGAATTCACTTTGCCGATGTTAGGTGTTTGAGAGCATTTCGAAGAATCATTCTCACTTACCCATGAACATCGTACTTGTGGTAGTCTCTGCAATTCTATTATTTCTTATTATACTCGATTATTTTTTATTGTTTTCCAACCCAGCAACTTGATTCTGTAATACTCACCCATAACTGCAGCGGGACAGGATACTTTGTGATTCTACTAGAGACCTGAAAAGCAATCTAGCGGTTATGCTCTTGGAGGATTGTGTAAGATGTGCAGAAGATAAGAACAAACTGCGTAGTTTCATTTTCTAAACTTCGTTTTCACGCCATGCAATCAGGCTAATGAATCATCAAACGCCATATACCGGTTTCTAACCTAAACGCTACTCTTGTGGGTATAAGATGCAGTTAAAAAGCCGAAAGGAAAAGAGGCTTATGGGATTGCATGTTCATTTGAGGTCAGGGTTGGCTAAAAATGTGTGTTCAAAAACAAAAGAAGATGGTTGCATAATTCTGATGTACTCTGTAGTTGAGACATTGTCATTTTCTTTGTACTTTTTGAATAAGGTTCCACAAAAAAATCAAAAGTATCCAGCCCACCATCTTCACTTTCTTCTGTAAAGTGAACAGGCTTAAGTTCAATACAAGCCCAAACTGAGTAATAATAAACTAAAGGATTGCCAGTTAAGATCTGAAAAAATCTTAGATATATTTCAATTTGTGGATCATAGAGTGGTCCACACACTGAAAACTATGGAATAATATTGTGCATTTTTTGGTATTCGTTGCAGAAAGATTCAATGCCAAGGAGATCGCTGGTGTCATCTGAACTACTTCAAAACACTTTTTATCTATAGACTAATGTGAGCAAAAGCTATTTCTAGCAAACTATACCATGAGAATTCTAAAGTACCTTGTGACAAACTATAACATTTCAATAAACTTCTGTTACAAGTATATCAATGGATATGAGAATAAAAATTGTGATAATGATACTAAAACTTCTAGGCCGTATTTATGGTGAGAATACATAAGAAAGAAACCAAATAATATGAATAAAAAAGAAGAAGATAATAACTTGTAAAGTAAATTGATACCAGAGTTGTTTATAGTACTTTCATGAAACATATTTTCGTCTAATATTTTGCTGCATTCCAAACGGAATGAGAAAAAGACTAAGCATTAAGTCATTATTTAGAGTTTTCAAATGATTTTTTGTATCAACATTGCATTTCTTCAGGGTTACTTCAACTTAAATTACGAGCGCCTAAGGAGTGTTGGTGTGTGTAGTTATGTTGATATTAAAAAAATTACTTACCTTGTTCTAATCACGTACTTGTTTTAACTTGGTAATAAATTCGTAAGCCTCCACAGTTTTGTGTCATTAGTGAAATTGTACTATTTGAGTATAATTTACTTAGATTATTGCATATAGAAAAACATCCCAAGACTCAAATCGCCAAAAATTAAAAGGAACTGAAACAGCCAAAATAAAAATTCAAGATCGTTAAGACAATTAAGATTTCTTATGAAAAGTGTAATACTGTCAGTTTTGTTAAACAATGTCTTGTTTGAAACAAATTTTAATAGATTAATTATGAATCAAAATTTGGAGATTGATGATTATACTAGACATCTAGTAGAAAGGTATTTAATCACAATTTTTAAATTTCTAACAAAAATCCAGGTGAATGTGCTTTACACAAAAGAAGAAAAACTGAAAACGTGAATTAACACGGTTGTGTCTAAACGACTTGATCGGGTTAGAAATGTGCTTTAATTTTCTTATTCGATTTATGATATGAGCAAACGAGTGCCAAAATTACAGTATGACTTGTTTCATTTTAGATAATATATATCAAATTTTTGAGTTTCCATGTATCCTTGTCTTCTCCTTTGAACGTTAAACGAGATCTTCATCTGAAGTCATGACTTAGTGCTAACTAACATATATCATATGAGGTGTTTTTCATCTCATGTATACAACACAGTTCTTCTTCACTTGCAAGCAAGTTCGAAAAATGTGAATTCTTGAGAGGATTGGCGGTTGACCTTAGCAAGTATCATGCTGGTTCTATCGTGTTCTATACGACGTGATAAACAAACAGCAGTGCTCTTAGCTCGGACGAAATCTGATTTCAATTTTATGTTTGAGGTCGAAAGACCTCCAGACCCTGGTGTTAGAACTGTGCAGTGTTAGACAGTTGAGGTAGAAGAACAATCATACCAGCAGCTGAAAACCCCGGGTATTCGTATACTCTGTACACAGTTCTTGGACATTATGTTTGGTAGACTTTCAAAAAGTTGATCGGTTTGTTCTGAACCCACGAGTTATGTAGAGTAATATAGACTACTGTACCAATTTGAAAGCAAGATAAAAGGACAACAGGCTTTGTCCTCCGAGCTGACTACCCATGTGCCTCTCAGTTGTCAGACTACATCCACTTGCTTGAATAGGCCAGAGATTCCAGGAAAAAGTATTCAATGAAGATGACGATTGAAAATTCTGTTTTCAGCGTGACGACATCGCGTGTATGGGCACACTGATGCATTCACTCAATTATCACGTTCGCTTGGACAACAACGTCAAGATTTACTCCGACCTTGTCTAAGAACATTTTCCAATCACACCAAGTATGGAGGAACACGCTTGTTGTGTTCGTATGTTGTCTTGACCTCGATCATCCACACAATTTAAGGAGAAGATCTGATGATCAAGCTGCAAATTTGTACGCGCTACCCTTCGGAGGGTCTTTCTTCCCGTGGGTGTTGATGCAGCTAGATTGGCATTCTCCCAGTCCAACTGCACATGGAGTTTTACACAAAGCAGAATACTTCATATCTGAGATTTCTGCGCTTCCATACTTTCCATGCGTACACATCGCACCATCTTTTCTGCAAACCAATTCTTTGGAGATCAGATTGACCTGCAGATCTTTTAGCTTGTCCACTCGGTAAGATCACCAGTGCAAATCCAACAGCTCTCTCCGTTCGATTTCACAATAGGTTTGCGTCCCCGTTGCACACTCTCTACGATTTGTTTTGGATCCAAAGTATTGGTTATCTGCTTTCATTTTCATTCAAATAGCTTGTCTTGCCCTGCACTGAGTTTGAACAGACTCTTATTTCCAGTTTGCACAATCTCCTCACGCTGGTGATTGCTCTTGATTCAATTCTTTGAGATTAATCTTACGATTAATCTTTGTGTATCTCCTCATGCAGAGTGCAAGAAGTGTCATGGCCAGCACTCACATGCACACAAGTTGTGACACTGCATCGAGAAGTTAATTATCGTCGGGTGAGTAGGTCTTTCGGATCGAGGAGGGGGCGCCCTGTAGCCAAGGTGACATTGCGCTCGCGCATGCCAAGCAGCAATAGTTTCTTACTCTGAGAGAGTGGAGGAGAGAATGGAAGGTGCAAGTGCGTCCAATGTCAGTCACGCTGCTGATACACGGGTGATGGACTCCGCGGACGAGGAACCAGTGACGTGTTACTTGAGCGAGACAGACGAGGAACCCGAGACGTCTGACGTGAGCGAGACAGACGAGGAAAGGGAGCTTCCCTCCGCTGTCCAGGACCTTTTACTGCGTCTGGAAGGAGAAGGCGCGCCTATTACGACGCTTCCCCATTCAAGGAACAAAGATTTTCGGAAATTCTTCCCGAAGATTGCATCGCTCTCGACGATGACAGGGTGGCGAAGCCAAGTGCGCCTTCGAGTACTGGAGGCAATCGGCAACTGCAACACCTTTGAGAGCCTAGATGTGGATATAATTTGTGGTGGAGATATATCGAGGTTGACGGAAAGTGAGTGGGAGGTTGTGTTCAGAGGATTTAAATCTAGCACCGTTCTAGAAACCATATCCCTTTGGGATTTGGAATGGAGTTCAGATGCGGAAGTGGAGAGCTTGTGTTCACAGATAGGGAGAATGCTGAATTCCTCTAGCGTAAAAAAATTGCGTATAGTAGGTACCAATTTGAGTGCCAGATGTTGGTTGAATCTCGCCTCAGGACTGCGAGGAAATCCCGATTCTAAACTCCAGTCTTTAGATTTATATTGCGCGTGGGAGGACTCGAGTGCGGTGAAGCATGTGGCTGACATCATCAACAGTGCTACTCGATTAGAAACGTTGAGGTTACGCTCTATAGGAGACATGGAAGAGGAGACCGTTGGAATTCTGTCCCAGGCTTTGATCCAGAGCTCGTCGTTAAAAGTATTGGCATTAAATAGAGTGAAGTGGGGAGAGGCCTTGTTGCTGAACGCTTTGGCCCGAGATGATGGCAACCGATCCATTGAACGTCTTGAGCTGGAGCGTATGGATGGACTCGGAGGCTGTTTAAGGGAAGTTCTTACTTCCAACCCATCATTGAAGGAAGTGGTGTTGGACAACTTGCGGATGAGTTCTGAGGAATGGCACCGGCTCGGCGAATTCATACGTGACAATGCTACAGCAACAAACACTAGAGTTGAGGTTTCTGATTTTGGAGATGAAAGGGAGTCAATAGAAGCTCTTGCGTGTGCTGCTAGCTCCGATGTCAAGGACCCCACAGTGGAGCTTGTACTCAGTTTTTTGGATGAGGAAGAGTTGATGTTATCACTAAACCTATTAGGGAGGGTACTGCGAGGTGAAATCAAATCTCTGAAATCTTTCAGTATATCACAGGATATGACTTTCTTGCCTAATCTTGGCTTTCTATTTACCAACCAAGGTAGACCGGAAAGTTTCCTGTCGACGAATGAAAAAACTGGAGAAACTTCCGTCCTGCATAGACTCAGATTATATGTTTACAACCAAGATGTTTGGAAGGAAGTATGGAAGGACCTCGTGGGGTGGTTGCAAGGGAACACAAGTCTCACTCACTTGGATTTGTCTGGCAACACACTCCACGAAGAGGCGTTCAGGGAGATGATGGGGGTACTGCAAGTCAACTTGACGCTCCAAGAAATAGATGTCTCAAACACAACATGGGCAACGGACGGAAAGGCGGCGTTGATACAAGAGTCCCTCCAGCAGAACCAAAAACGGGCCGTCTACAGGACCGTGTTCACAGAAGCCGGATTAGCATTAGGAGATGCAAAAGCTGGTCGACTCTTTTTATGCGGCTCTCCTCTAGCAGGTGAGGTACTCTGTCAGTTCTCATTTTTTTTTCTCAATGTATAAAAACTAGCTATCTAAGGTTTTATTTTAATTTTTATTTTACATTTTGATGTGAAAATCAAAATTTTCCAATCCTGTCTATCCACACTCATTAAAATAATGTGATATCAAGTAATGTGTAAAAATAACTCAACTAACAAGTTGTATTTGTTGCAATTCTTTACATTCAATTTATCAGGCAAGACTCAATTGCGTAACACCTTGATGAAGATAGTTCAAGGTGAAAGTTGGCTACGAAACAAATTGTCCAATTTGAGAACTACAGGAATAGAAGTGGAGTTCTTGGAGTACTTGCAACACAATGAGAGAAGGCAAATTTCAATTTGGGATCTTGCCGGACAAGAAATTTTTCGTACCCTTCAAAATGTGCTCTTCCCTCGCACCAGCAATTTTTTTCTTTTTTTATTTGTGTATAACCCTTTTTGTGAGAAAACATCTTCAAACAAAGAGGATTCTTGTTTTCAGACTGAGTTGGAGGATTGGATGAGTTTTATCTCATCCAACATTAAGGTTGATGGACATAATCGACCACAAGTTCTTGTTGTGATTTCACACAAGGATAAATCAAAAATTATCAGTGTGACTTGGGCTGAGTCCATAGTAAACAAGCTCTCTAAACCATTTGCAGAATATGTGGATATCCATCCGATTCAAGAGTGTTTTCATGTGAACGCGAGGAAGAAGAAGCAAGTTATTCCTCTCAAGAATCATATCTTTGAAATCTTCACCAAGTTGTGGAGTGAAAAATTTCCACAAGTTCCCACATTGTGTTCTCAGCTCTCTTCTCGTTTGGTTACAAACACCAAGAAGAACAGGAATTGTCCTCTTTGGCGAATCCAAAATTTTCATAAGTTCTGTGCCCCCACCTTCAAAGAGTTTATTCCATCATACTTTGTTCATACCGATGATCCATCATCTTCTGTTCACACCGATGATCATTCAAGGATAACAAATTCAATGATATCGTATTTGAATGACATTGGATCCATCGTTCATATCCCCAAGCTTGATTACATCATAGTGGATCCCAATTGGTTGACCAATACATTATTGGGTAAGCTAGTAGCTCTGGGTCAAAACTTTCAAGCTCAAAAAACAGGGTGTTGTAGAAATAATTCATACACTCAGGGTGGATTTGTGAGTGACAGTGTCTTTACTGGGTTGATAAAGGAGTTTCTGCGAAAGCAACCTCAGAGACAGAGAGGTGTGAACAAAGAGGCGATTGAAGGGATCCTTATCAGTTTGGATTTGTGTTTCAAGGAGGAAGATACTTCTCAGTATTTCATTCCCTCTTTCATACCTGAGAATGCAAGCATGGAAGAACAAAAGCTGGCTTGGGGAAACAGGAATATGAAGTCAGAGTTTGTGGGCATCCGGATTCAGTGCAAAGATGAAAGAACAATGTCACTAACTGCTGCTTTTTTTCCATGCTTCCAGGTGACGTTGAATCATGATCTCATATATACTAAGAGAAGATTGAATGCGTCAAATTCTGATTGTTACTTGTGTTTGATGAATAGAATGTTCCCTTTTCTTTAGTTCAATTTAATTTTTGAAATACGCAACTCAATATTTACCAAGTTTTGTATCATTATAGATGTTCGTGAGACGACAGTTGATATTGGAGGGGCGTGTTTCCAAAAACAATATTACATGCTCTCGACATTATTTGGAAGTCTTCCTTGATGGGCACCAGATATATCTGGAGTAAAGAATGTCCCGCAAATACGTGGATGTGCTGATGTTATGCTCGGATTGTAAGTCAAGGGAGATGGCTATTAAAACTATGATGAAGCATATCGTCCAGGAGTTGATATCCTTTTGCGCATCATCCAAGGGCTGTCCCGGGGTGGCGTTAGTGTTAGGTGTGATCCAAACACGTTGCGTAGATATGCTGATTCCAAGTCATCTCAGAGGAGTCATTTTGATAGAGAAGCTCAAATCAAACTTTATTCGTGACATCAGTGAAAAACTTCAGAATTTTCCCTTGGTGAAGGAGGAAGACTTGTTTAGCTATGAGCACTCTTGGGATGCGATTGAAGGGCACACAGGGGTAATTTCCGAAAGAGCTAGGGATTTGTTGTGGGAGAGCGATGTGGAAGCGGTTGTGGATAAGATCCGACAGGAGCGAATGCAACAATTGGAGTCACTGGAGCAAGGTTTAATCGAAGTGAAGAATGATTTGATACATTCTAACCCTGAAGATGAGAACATGGTTACGAATTCAAATTATTCTGATATGAAAGACTCCAATCAACCTTCATCCAGTAGGTTAAGACGGACGAGCACAAGTGTGGGAAACCGTGAAACCCGACTTGTTTTGGACAGTCTTCATTGGGTAGCAAAAGATCTAGGACAGAAGGTTGGGGGTGTAAAACAAAAGGTTGATGGTGTTGATGAGAGGTTGAGATTAGGTTTGGAGAGATTGGAGAAGAAAATGGGAGAGATACTCTCATTGCAACAAGAATTGCAGTCAAAGTTGAGTGAATTCATGTCTAAAGTGGACAAGTTCATTCAGTATTCTCATTCGCTTCAGGAGGCGAAAACACCCAAGCGACCTTACGTTACGGACGATGTTGGTCTTTTCTATAGGGTGAGTGCTGTTTTGCATGTCGGGACAACGGTTCGATTACACTTGATGTGTGAGTCTGCGTATGGGTTTCACCGTCTCAAAGATCAAGAAGGTTTGAAGATACGCTTGGATCGGAAAAACTGCGAGTGGATTCGGAAAACTATTGAAATCTCATTCAAACTCATATATTATGCTGCAAAGGCTGGACTGGATGCGACCTTGGGGGTAGGACAAGCGATTCCAGAGTGGGGAGATTTGAAATCTGATATTGTTAAACTAGATGGCATTAGCGATCGTGATCGTAGTGCAGTTTTAAAAGGTGGAGAAAGCAAGGAGCTGAAAGAAGCATGGCTGAGGATTCAGCAAACTCTTGCGCCACATCTTCAAGATAGCTATTCGTCAATCTTCAAGTTGTATAAGGTGAAATTCGTGAGACTAGAATTAGGTGGGCATGCATGGGTCTGCGAGGAGTGCATGGATAAAGGTCGTCGTTCTGGCATTTTGACATATTAGGACTTTGAAGAGGTTAGAATATCATCATGCAGTTGACAAGCATGTGTTCAAACACTCATGCAATATGACCCCCTGCAAAATCTTCCTTCGAGTTTTCACGTTTACATGTCTTTTTTATGCAATCATATCAATCGCGGAGTTATGTTTCTGAAGATGATCAGTACACGGCTGAATTATCATAATTACATTTTGAGGACAATATTGTAAGTGTGGCTTGTTGCAAGTCTCACCATGATGAAATTCCTTCACTTAAACGTTGGTTAGTCAGCCTTGAATTTCGATACATCTCCAAGAATGATTGTTCTGTTCTTGTTTTGAATAATGTGGGTCCAACAACTGTACAATGGACAGGAAAGAATTATGTCATTTTGTTTTAAAAAATTTTTTTACAGTTGGTAGACGTGTTTAAAACTGAGTGCAATTTTGAACACTTCATGGTCCCACCACATGCAGTGTTCAAGATGTGATGGCGTCGGCTTTCCTCACCTGGCCTTCGTAACACTCGTTGTACACTCTTCGAGCGGCAGGCTCTTGAGACGAATACGGCGTGCAAACCTCGTGGGTAAAAAGATTGGACTGTGATTGGAGGGACAGGGTAGCGTTGCGGAGTTCATGAGAAAGAGGGTCAACAAGTAATACTTCGAGTCACTTCATAGATACGTGAGGGCAACTAGCTAGCTTTGGCATGCTCAGTCTATAATCTATCCAGAATTTACTCAGAACTGGGTGGTCGAAACCAATATATTTGCTCTTCCTTCAACTGCTGTCAGGATTAATTTTCTTGCAGCTTGATTATCTGCTGTAAATTATATGAGCAAGAGAGTTTATTCCGAAGAGATTGATGTCCAGGCTGCAGTGATAAAAATCTGTTAGTTATTTGCAGTGGTAAAATCTATAAGTTATTGCATGTGCTAAAGATCAATTCAGGTACGTAAAAGTCTTCCATAGATAAAATTTTGAATCGGCGTGCTTGGCATGGTGGTGCAGATTTGCAGAAACGGCAACAGACCTTATTTCTGGTGGCAAGATTGATGATGTGGTGAGATTTGAGCTGGTGAATAGTCTGTCATTTAAGCATCACTAACTCAGCATGATTTGTGAGTTTTGACGTTCATTCATTTCGGCTTTGCAAATTGAACAAAAGCATTGGGTCCACCATGGAATCCCAGACAGTCAAAACACAAAAATGTGGTGAAGATTCAAGAAAGGTTTGTCTATAATCCGAAAAAACGTGGAAATCTCTTCTCCAAGACTGCCCACTTCAGAACATTGTAGGAAGTGAACCATCACCATTTACTGTTCACCACTCACTGGTACAGTTCATCCACACTGATCTATTTGTATACAAGGGCCCGGAGCTGAGAAAGTGGATATTGAGAAACGTACACCTCTAACCACAGTGTCGGGTACATTTTGCAATCCCGAAAGTCACTGCAAATAATATTGATATTGTTAAAGTGAAGATTATGTCGTGAACTTCGTGCTGGCAATTGCACTTGCAGCGGGGAAGAAATGTGCTACAGAATCTTCTGACTCTCGGATTTCTTCAGAAAATTGCTTAAATTGTCATAGTGGATGGCGCACTGCAGTGAAATATGATCTGATGCAAACTTGTCTGCCCAATTTCCATTTTGCCTTCCGTTTTCAGGCAAGAGTGAATATAGACGATAATTAAGAGAAAAGCACCAGACATGATAAAGAGGAACAAATCAACTGTTTTGGTGACTTGGCCTTGTGGATTATTTGGCTATTACAGAGAGTTCACGGAACGAACAGACGCCGCACATCATCTGCAACCGTCTGGAAAACGCTGACAACTGTGGCAATTATCTTCACGCCGAGGTACTCCCACTTGTGCGGGTGGCGCACCGTCAATAAGTTGCAGTACGAGCCAACTCACTTGATTCAGAAACATTCTATACCTCTTCTGTGTAGTAACTTGGGATCTTCGGGAAATTCAGTTGAGAGAAGCGAAATTCATCTGAGGACGGGAATTTTGAATTTTCATGGAACTCCTGTAGAGGAGCTGTCTGGCTCAAGTCCAGAACTGCATCAATTATCAGATTGGATGTTTGGCAAAAAGTGAACTGGGTCCATTGCTTTGCAACCATATCCTGACCCCATACAGCACTAACTTGTGCTTTCGAACATTCCCTCAATGAGATGCTTTAAGAATCTGGAACTTGATTTGGACATTACGAATTCGAAGTTTCCAACTCACGCTGGAGTTATACACTTCCAAATCTGAATCCCTTAAACGATCAGATAACTGCGCGATCGAGATCCAATCTTGTTATTGAAAAAATCACAAACATTCCAAAATTCAGTTGCTGTCGCACATATATATTTGTGAGCATCCGATGACGAGGAGGATAATCAGCATCAAATCTATTCATAATCTATTCATGAACTATGTCATAAGAAATTACGTCATAAATTGACATCTGAATTCACGATCATTCCTTGTCAGTAACATTTCTCTCATTTTCATCCCATTCACATTATCAATATTTACTTATCGAGAGGACTTGACAAGACAGATGTCATTCTCAGATTTGTAACTTACAGGCTCAAGCGTCCAAACAGGAATTTTCTAGTTTCAGATTCTGCTGGGTGAAACCGGCGCAATAGATCAGAAATGTTGTCAACCAATCGGACAGGAAACTAGTAAAACGGTACTCAAAACCAAATGATAGTGAAATTTTCTCTGAAACAGAAAATTATGGTCATTTACAAGACAATCGTTTCTAACTTATTGCTTCTTCTTTACAATCCAATTCTCGTACTTACAACCGGATGAAGTCAGATTTAAAAATTGCATCATTATAAAAAAAACCAGCTCAGATTAATCTCAAACGAATGAATGAAAATTTGAACCAGAATTCGAAATTACAAGTTTGAGCTCAAATAAACAAGTCAAGTAAGATCGCATTGTTTTGCTATAGTTCTGGACAATCAAATAGCAGATCTGAATATGGCTTCTGAAAAATGATTCGTAGATTATGTATGAGAAATAACATGTGCCCGAATGCTAACTTATAAGTCGAGATGAAGAACAGTTTGATCTCAAGTTACGTACAATAACTATATGTTATTAACAGTGTATAGTTATTGTACACACTGACGTGTATATTTAGAAAAGACTTCTGAGAAAAATTCTTTGATATGCATTTGAGTTACTTAGCGGTGAGTTTTCTCTTAGAATGTCCCTAACTCTCTCAAATAAGCTTATGTTTATTCTTGCGGAAAGCGATGAATGAAACCAATGGCTTAGCTTCAATTAGTTCATCTGTAATTCTATTTGCTTGGAATACGGACTCTTGCAGCATTCGTCTTGAACTTGCCTTCTATGGAATTATATAATTCCCTCCATCCTGTACAAGCTACAATCAGTACGTACCACAGTTTTAGTGAGTGTTCTAGCCTTCCAGCTTAAAGGATAAAAAACACTTGACGGTGCATGTAGAATCGTTACGCAAAACTGAAAAAGAAAGGCGAAGTGTACAATGGGAAGACAGGTTGGCATCGGATCATACTTTACTATAATGAAAAATTAGCTACATTTTTCGAAGACAACAGGTAGTCAACCTAACTCTACCCTAAACCGACATTTCTTCTGTGTTCCAAATCGGCTGCAGTTGCAATTCCCAGCAAAAAGTTCACGACATTAGTTTCGCCTAAACAATACCTCCTTTAACCTTTAACCTGCACTGGGTTTCGAGATCGTCTACCGGGAAGGGTTTCAGGAGACTGCAATAGTCCCGACCCTGTCATAAGACGTTTATGTTTCCTATTATACACTTTCTCAGATCTGTTCCCATGTCTACAATAAGATCCGTGCCCATGTCTACAATCAAATCATCGTCGATGAATTGCTCCAATAAGTGGTGATGGATGACTTCCTGCAACTTACTGAAGTGGGCGATGCTGAAGAAGAGATTTCCTCTAAGCGCTAGAGTGGAAACTAAAAACCTCTCTCAAATCTTCACCACATTTTCGTGTTTTGACTTGGTGAGAGTCCATGGCGGACCAGATGATTATGTTAAATTCGCAAAGCTAAAATGAATGATCCTGAAAACAAAAAAAGCATGGCTGAGTTCGTGGTGCTCAGATGACAGAGTATTCACCTGTTCAAACCTCACCACATCATCAATCTTGCCACCAGAATCCGGTCTGCTGCCGTTTCTGCAAATCTGCACCATCTTGCTTCGCAAGCCGATTCCAAGCAATTGCGGAGCTTCAGCGAGCAAAACGTCTCAAAATGTGTACTAAGGAATTATTTCCCGTACCCGATCTCAGCGTGGGCATTTGTAAGAACTTATGGACCTCTACTGAGGGGCGGAGCCAGGATTTTTCTGGTGGGGGGGGGCTCCGCCAGGTATTTCTGTAGCGTCGCAGGCGAGGCTACAGATCGTTTCCTGGGGGGGGGGGGGGGGGGGGGGGGGGGGGGGGGGCGGAGCTAAGGGGGGGCACGCCCCCCCTTAGCTCCGCCACTGCCTCTAGCTCAGAGATCAAAGCTTGTTTAATAAACTCCCTTGCACATAAAATTTACAGCAGACAAACACGCTGCAATTTTTTAATCATATATTCTATCACTCTTGTCAAGAGTGATAGAATGTCACTATCGACATCAGTTTAGAAAAAAATTGTTAAGATTGTTTCACAAATTGTAACTCGCTCACTCTTCCACTCTCTCCGCCTCTACTGTGCTCTGCGCTGCCTCCGGCCTAAATTGGAACACAAAGCAATGACAACCGGTTGCAGACACGTGTCCCACAACGACGGCCGAGCGAGACAGGGCGCGCTCGATTCGATGAGTGGCTCGATCGACGCGACGGTGACGCACGAATTCCGTCACGACGGTAACCTACGCCGTCAGCCCTGAGGCAGAAGGTCGGGGTGGATCTGGGCTGCAGTTTCATCAGCGTGATCGCTTTTCTCTCCGTCTGCACTCCTGGACGGCTACAGAAGCTCCAACGTGGCCCCTGAGTCGAGCGAGTCCAAGCATGTCAGCAATCCTGTGGCGGTGAAATTGATTTTTATCTTAAATTCCGACTCCTCAACAAACTTACGAAGACAAACAATCCAACGAAATCAACGGAGAGACAGATTCGTGGAACGCTTTCGAATACGAGGATACAGTGGACTCAAAACTCCAGTTTCACGAAATAGATCCTGATGATGAGCTCTGCGTTCGAGCAAATTTTTTCTCCTGCAGTTCTCAGCTCGTCTCGGGACATTATAGAAGCATGAGCTGGTTGAGAAAGCGATTGTCGAACTCTGGTGCAGGAGACATCGCCTCTGCTGCTGATCGGAAGCCGAAATTCGTCTTCAGAAGCCAACTCTACAAGGTGAAATTCTGTTAAGAGGTACGTGAATGGATAGCAATTGAAAGTAATGGAGGGAGGAATTGCGGATGCGGGCAATTCGCCCGCAGATGAAGAACAGATCCAGATCCAGGAGAGCTCGCTGCGTGCGCACGTACTAGTTATCCCTTTGAGTATAATCTCGGTTTCGCATGTCACCTCGGCCGTGTTGCTGTCAGCCAAGCTCGCCAAGCAAGACATCACTGTCACAATCTTCACGGACCGATACATGCTGCCACACATCCACTCGCTTCATTCGCCCGAAGCGCTGCAAAGTCTCGACATTCGGTTGGCCATTATGGACCACGATGAGTCGGAACGTGAGTTGCATGAAGACTGGAGCAGACCATTTAAGGACTCGTACGCCGTGATGCGAGCTGCAGAACCTTATTTTCAAAATATGGCCTCTGCCCGATCCTCAGGAGCTGCCGGCCTACCCACATGCGTCATAGCAGACATGTTCTGTCTTTGGGCTCAGGTAAATCTGACGACCTACACTCTTCACCAGGCGTGTTTTCCTTCTCACCCTATTTCGCCAGACGTAGAGATTGCTCAGATTTGTCGTCTGCTCGGATTTCTCTGATTTCTAGGCCGAAACAGTTCTGCGAAAGGCTTCTCTATTGTAGATGTTTCTGTGTTTGTGACGAACCTTCTTTTGCTAGTGATCAGATTCTATTCGATGGCATCTCGATAGAATACAGATCAAAATTTGGAAGAAAGAGAGAATTCGCACTTGTGTACGAGAGAATTTCGTTTCGATAGGCAGGTTTTAACACAGGAAAGGAGAATTGGGCTAGTGATCATACCATCTCAATACAATACACATCAAAATTGGGAAAGAAATATAAAATCTGACACGGGAGGAATGTTCATTGTACAGAAACTTTCACAGGAACAGAATCTACCATGTTACGCGTATTTTCCTAGTGGTGCAAATTTCGCTTGTCTTCTTCAAGCGTTTCCGGCTCTCATTTCGGAAGGAAGGTTGAGAGTGGGAGCGAATGGCAAATTCATCAAAAGCAAACAGACTATCACCGTCCCTGGTCTTCCACCTCTTTTGGACGTAGAGCTGCCAAATTCCACCAAAATAAACCCTGTCTCGGTGACAACGAAAGCGGGACTGGATTTGTCGAAAGTAAACGGTGTGATCATCAACACCTTCTACGAATTGGAAAGTCATGCCATTGAAGCCTTCTTGCAGGCTTGCGATCCTACGTTGCATGTATGTCGTCTGCCTCTGTTCCCTCGAGCTTTAATCTAGAGTAGCGACAACGAAATATGTGCTCTCACAGGTTTGTACTACTTTGTTTACTTGGAAAATCAAATTTGAGAAACTGACACTCCAACTCTTACTGATATGATTAACAGACCTAAACTTCTCCTCTATTAACCTTTTAACTACTTCTAATCAGAACTTTTTCAGAAACCATTGTACAACAATTAGAATGTACAGCTTTGAAGATCGCATGCCAAAATCATCCAGAGACAGAGAAAAACAGAGATCCAGAGACAGAGAGAGTAAACAATCTTGTCTTTGGGAAGGTCATGCTGCTGTCATGTGGGATTGTGCAGGTTCCTAAAGTGTTCACGATTGGGCCGCTTGCAGCAGCAAGAACTGAAGCTGCTGCGCGAGAGGGAGAAAGAGAGGAATGTTTGGAGTGGCTGGACCGTCAGCCTGTCTCCTCTGTAGTATACATCTGCTATGGTAGCATGGCAAAGTGGACAGCGGAAAGTCTTCGTGAATTAGCCCTTGCACTGGAGGCAAGCCAATGCCGATTTCTATGGGTTCTTTACCAGGAGAGCGGTGATGATTTGGTTCATGCACTTCCAGCACAATTCCTGGAACGAGTGGGCCAACGTGGCAGGGTAGTCACTTACTGGGTACCTCAAGTTCAGATTATTCAGCATCAAGCTCTCAGCTGCTTCATGTCACATTGTGGTTGGAACTCCACCGTAGAAAGTATATCCGGAGGAGTGCCCATGCTGTGTCTGCCCCTTGGAGCTGAGCAGAACCTTAATTGCAGGTGTGTTCTTATCAACCTCGTCTACAATGTGTTTCACACATCGTTTGCAAATGACAGACTCAGCTCCCAATATTTTAGAGTATGCACTGGGTCCTGGGATCTTAAGGACGAGCTTGAACTGAAATTCCGTCATCTAGTAAGAACAAAAGCCTCTGCAACAAGTGCAAGCAGAACACGTCTCCTGAGATTTCAATATTGACCGACTCTTTGATACACATATGAATTGGTCGATGTTCCTCTAGATTTTTCAGATCCACCCTAAAACTTCTCCCATCTCGAAAGAAAAAACTCTGCAAAATATAACACGGGGAAAAACAAGATCAACGGCCGAACAGATTTCAGACCAGAGTTCGAACACGTGAACAAGAGGAGGATATCTGACCTGATGGTATTCTGATTTATGATGATCTTTGAATGTTGTTTTGCAGGCATATAGTGGACGTGGTTAAGGTGGGTATACAAGTCAAAGTTGGAGATGATGGCGTTCCAAAACAAAAAGACATTGAGAACGCCTTACAATTAATGATGGAAGAGGAAGAAGGCAAAATGATAAGGCAGCGAGTTCTAGAGCTCAAATCGATGGCGGCTGCAGCTGCTGTCCCCGGTGGATCTTCAAGCACTTCCTTTCAAGAGCTGATTAATGATCTGAAGTGTACATAATGTTGTTATCACTCTTTAAACTGAGGGCCGCAGAACAGATAAAAGATACCCATCCTCGTGGCTTGGAGAAGGTCGCAATGCCTACTGTGAATATAATGGTTCTGGGCCTAATCACAACCACGTGTATATGTTAGGCCAACGAGCCTGATTTCACTCTTCAACGCAGGTGCTGGCCAACTTAGGCACTTGAATAAAACATAGACAAAAGATCATAAGAATCACAATCCCAACTAATGCGTTTTTCACTTAGTGCAGGACCTCGACAATATTGTATTTAGGCAATACTGTAATATTCGAATCTCATGTGATTTCAGGCTCTTTAAGTAATGAGATTTCTTGTTCACTTCTGTTGATTAAGAGTAAGGTGCCTCAGTAGCACTGTTAAAAAATGTAAAAACATCTCCTCAAGCACGTCATGGTGCACGAGGGCTTATTGGGCGCAAGGGCAGCCACTGTGGTGTGCGAAAGGACAGGTAAAATAAGCACAATCCCTGTGAATCCCAAACCTCAGCGAGGAAAAGACATGAAAGCGAAGGAAACCTCCCTTTTCTGAAGTAGCCTGGCCCCTGGACGAGAGCTTCACACCATGCTTGCTTTCAAAACCGAGCTGTTTTTCTGGTTTTAATGATTCTGAGCACTAACATCACTTAAGTAGAATCCAAAATAGAGTTGTGAAATTCGGCATGCCTCTTTGGCTTTCGGCTTCAATCATTAAAGAGCTGTTTGATATGCTGGAGATTTGTGGCGAGGAAGTCATTGTTTCGGCAAAGCCTGTGTACTCAATGTGAGGAGGTCCAGTCGAGAAGCATTTCATCCTCGCAAGTTTTTTGCCCTCTACCTACCATTTGTCGTCATCATCCAAGGTTCAAGGGTTGGTTGCCACACGGCAGCTCTTCATGTTGACAAACAGATAACCAAGTTTGTAAACATCGAGCCATCTCACCTAATTAACGTACCAGAAATTTCATGTGATCAGATATTTTATGTGATCACTCTGGTAAAATATGCCGCACTGCGGAAATCACTCGTAGACGAGTGTCGTCCATATCCCCTTGACCACCGTGGGTAATTAAAACTCTTTACGTTCGAGCAGTATCGCAGCATCCATGGTCTACTGGGTATGATTTGAAAGGATAGTCGTGTTTCCAGGGGATGGCTGAAGGAAATGGTTCTCTCTACTCATTGCTTTCTCGTTCTCACCTTTGGCCTCAAATCCGTGCTTTTGAAGGGTGGCTGCTTCCGTACGGCATGAAGAGGTCCGCCACACTAGATGCGCTCGCGTCGTAGATTCGATGAGCACTGCAGAATGCTGCTCGTGCTGGGTCTCGTACAAGAAGAACAAGCCACCGAGTTCGAGTTCTCGAATACTCAGGTCGAATTCTCTTGCGCCTGGTGGGTGGATATGTTGTGCCCGAGGCTCCGAGCAGGAACTCTCACAGAGTTGAATTCCGCTGGGGAAAATGACCAGCGCATGGTTCGGTGTTCAGGTGATATCTGTCATTGCGTTAGCTTCGGTGGACCTCTGCGATGGGCACTTCTCCGCAGCACAGACGTGGACGACGTTGCAGCTTCTTCACATGGCCAAAAGCTTTGCATCGCCGCCTGTCTCCTGGAAGTATGGAACAGATCACTGTCATGGATGGCTGGGCGTCAGGTGCAGCAACAGCAGCAGCAACTCGGGGGCAGTCGTGGAGCTCAACCTCTCCAGTGATGAGTTTCAAGGCCAGGTCTCGGATCTTGTCTGCGGTCTCAGAGATCTGCGAGTTCTGAACTTGGAATCCCCTGCTTTGGAGGGATGCATTCCGGACTGTGTCTGGAATCTCAGAGAGCTGCGCTCGATCAGCACAGGCGAATATAGCCGTCTTCGAGTTAGAGCAGGTGATTTGCCTGCGTCCACGGCAGCCTTCGAAATCACGCATCTGCAGCTTCCTGGCGTGGGACTGAGCGCTTTGCCCCCATGGATATCAGCTCTAAGCAAGCTGCAGGTCCTGGACCTCTCTCGAAATAACTTGGTATCTGTTCCCATTGAGATAGGCCAGCTGGGCGAACTGAAAGAGCTCTTTCTCCAATTCAATCAGATTCTGATGATTCCCTTCTCGATATCCAACTTGACCAAATTGAGGACGATCAGTCTTTTTGGGAACAACATGCAGGCCATCGCTTCCAGCTTCAACGATATGCCACATCTGAAAACCCTGGACCTCGGAGAGAATCAGATTGTGACCATAACGAGGTCGTTTAACGATCTGCCCAGTCTGCGATCACTTTATTTCGATGCAACAAATTCCGGTCAGATCCACGCCATTTCCTCCTCCTTCAATCATTTGCCGACTCTGCAGAGTGTAGATCTTAGTGAGAACGACCTCCATGTCGTTCATTATGCCTTCAACAACATGTCGGGTCTGAAAGATCTTTACCTCGATCGCAATCGCCTTAGTGCTAATGCAGACTTCTCCAGCTCGTTCAGATTTTTGCCGAGTTTGCAGCTGCTCAATCTGAGTGACAATGGCTTAGATGCTGTTCCCGAGTGCGTTTGCGAGTTTACATCTCTCTTGAGACTCGACCTCAGCTCCAATGAGATCAGTAGTATCCCCACATGCCTGGGCCGCTTGTCGTCTTTGACACATCTGGATTTCAGCCACAATATGATCACGGATGAATATATCGGACCGTCTTTGGGAGATGTTTCGAGGCTGGAAGTTTTGAAGCTTGCTGGCAACAAGATCAAAAACGTTCCTGCATTTGTCGGAGATTTTTTTTGCTTACGGACCTTAGTTCTGAGTCAGAACATGATACAGGACGTCTTCGTGGATCCGGTCGAGGCTCCTCCGAATCTGGAGAGTCTGGACCTCTCTGGTAACCTTCTTCAGGCCATTCCAGATGGTTTGAGATTCCTGCAGCGCTTGGCGACTCTGAAGATGAGCAACAATCGGATTCGAGATGTTTCCAACGTCCTGGACAATGTCACCACGTTGCAATTGGTGGATTTGAGCTTCAACAACCTGAGTGGTTGGCTACGGGATGATATCAAATGGCTCTCGAGATTAGAGTCCTTGAATCTTGCCCACAATCAGCTGAAAGGGCCGATTCCGTCCTCGCTGTTCGATCTGCGTACTGGTCATCTTAATTGCACGAGTCGCAACTGCAACCAACTTGATCTCGATCTCTCGACAAATTTCTTCACAGATTTCGTCCCAAAGTGGCTGTGCTCGGATGACCAACCTATTTTCACAGTTTCGCTAGACCTGTCCTCTAATAATCTGCAAGGCTCTGTAAAACCTTTACTGGAGAGCTATTGTGTCGACTATCAAACCGTCAGTCTATCCCACAACAATCTGTCAGGAGGTATTCCATCTCATGGATTTGTCAATAGTCACCTCTACGTACTGGATTTGTCTTTCAATCAGCTCAATGGCACCATACCCACAACGCTGGGTAATATCTCAAATCTCTCCTGTGTCAAGTTGAGCAGCAATCAGCTGCTGGGATCTTTATCTGGAACATTCCTGGAGGCGAACATTTCAGATTATTTCTCAACTTCACCCGAACTTAAGAATCTGATTGAGCTCGATCTCAGCGACAATCTCCTCTCCGGGCCAATACCAGACAATCTGATCGTCGTCAAAAATACTTCTCGACGGCTGGACCCAGGATACGAGGCTCCCATGCTTATGTATTTAAATGTTTCGCACAACATGCTCAACGGCTGCATACCTGACGGTCTTCACATGCTTTCGAATCTCGTGTCTCTGGATCTTTCTCATAACAATCTATCGGGTGATATCCAACATCTTCAATCCGTGGGACTAGTAGATGTGTCCGACAACCATCCCACTGAGGGAGCAGAGGATTGCCTGCATGACCCAGAAGGCTTCAGCAAATATCGCAGCTCACAGCAGCGACCTAGGCAAGTTTGGATGGTCGGCGCTGTTGTAGTGGTCTTCGGGTATGTGCTCCTGGTGTTTATAACGTGGAGACTTTACTGGATGAGTCATCTTTACCGAGTGTCATGCCGAATTTATTTGTGGGGCTCGAGAGTGTGTGGCTTATGAATTAGCAATGTTGGGAACGAAACTGGAAGCACCTGATTTCGTTCTGCAATTATCCAGACAGCTACAGAGCATCTCGGTGTGGGGTCGACTGTCAACTCACAGATATATTCAACTTCTTTGTACAGCAGAATCCAAAACGTCATCAACTAATTGGATCCTTTAAGATCACTCGATTCGTTTGAAAGCACTTTTGTGAAAGCTCAATGTTCATCTCGAAACAGAACCATCGCCCCTGTTGAGAGATTTGTTCACATGCCATAGATGATTCAAGAGGGGCATCAAATGAACTAAAAATCTAATTCGTGGATGGAAGAGAGCAGGAAAGAACGCACCTTAAATTCAAGACTCGGACAGTCCAGGAAGTTCACCAGAGTCAGCTGTATAACACCTCCAAGTAATGGTCGAATAAACTGTCAGTAATTTTCCTTGAGCAGTTCACTAGCACACGAGGAAGGTGCTATCTTGTAGCTGGAGAAAACCAGTATCGGTGTTCGAGTTGCAAGACATGATACAGCACATGTCAAGGCATCATACAGGATCAAGGCAGATGCACGAAATTCTATGCAGGGCAGCCAGTCTCGAAGTGCTTTGCATGTGTATTGCACCAAGACCGATGCTGCTTTTCATCGCTCGCTCCTCTAAAGGGGCTGGGACTGAGACAAACCTCACGAGATGAAATCGACAACAAGAAGGTCGGAACAACTTTAAAACTCAATGGTAATATCGTTGATGGATTTTGGTTGAATCACAGCAAACTAGCCCATGTGTGGGCAAGGCACGCACCGGAGCACATACTCTCAATCCGTGAGCTAAATCATTCTCAAAATCTTTTGAGTATTTTTCATATCAGAAATGGCTTTGCTAAATGTACCCTTTCTATCTTTCATTAAAGTGAGTCGAAGACGTCACCGCAGCAGGTTCAACTGGAAACCGTTCTGAACTGAGCAGCGCAATTTGAGTCTTAATCCTGACTATTCGTTGACACGTTCATCTAGCTTGACAGGATGATTCACGAGAACGAACCGAGTTCTCTCTGAGTACATGAATCGATCACAGTTTTTCTACAGCTTTTTTTTCGACATCTCGGTCCATTGTCCATAGCATTGTAAATTATTCTACCTTGCAATTAGACTAATATAACATAATGATTGAGGGGAATCTAAAATCGAGGACCCGAGAGAGTCATAAGACCACCTACAATGCTACGGCAACCAGAAGACCTGAAGCGAGCACAAGAGTTGTCCATCTGGAAACGGTCGTCATCACTCCAGCGCTCTGTACACAATAGGCAACAATCGGGTGCTTAGATTAGCTCATGTCCAGTGTGAAGCCCTCAATTCAAAGAACAACTATGACCTTTGTATGACACAGAATGTATTCGACTACAGATCGCAAGCATTTGATAGAACCTGAAGCAAAGAAATCTCAAATCACCTGTTCGGATGCAGGTCCAGGTGCAGGAGCTGAGTTCGCAGAGCTGAGTTCGGGAGATGGCTTGGGGGTGGAAGGAGTGGCTGTGGGCACGGATGGAGGAGCCTCGGTAGGTTCGGTGATGATGACGAAAGTGGGCGGGGATGCAGAAGGGGGGAATGCTGGTGGGGCGGTGCTCACGGTAGGAGGGGATGCTGGTGGGGTGGAGCTCACGGTGGGAGGGGATGCTGGTGGGGTGGAGCTCACGGTGGGAGGGGATGCTGGTGGGGTGGAGCTCACGGTGGGAGGGGATGCTGGTGGGGTGGGGCTCACGGTCGGAGGGACAGTGGGATTGGTGGTGGGAGGAGGAACTGTGGGAGTTGCAGGCGGAGCCTGGGTCGGTGTCGTGGATGGTGCTGATACTGGGCCTTGTGCCACAGAAGGACCACTCTGAAAGATGACCAGTGCAACGAGAACCACAACCATCTTCTGAAATTGGGGTGCCATTTTGGAAGCTGTAGCGAACGAAAGCAAGTGCGCTGAGTGAAGTTAAGGCGAAGACCTGTAAAATCATCCGTGGAGCAAACAACTTATCATCGAGTATAACACAGCATTTCCTGAATTGAAGACGATCTCCATGGAATTATTTAGATTCAATGGCAAGTCTTCTCTCGAAGAAAGTCAAACTTCTGCTAGTGTCTAGAGTTAAAAATTACCTGCGAATCTCAATCTAAAATTGTAGAAGACTCTCCTCTGTGGTGCAGCTGCAAGCTGGATTTCTAGAGAGGTGAAGCTTGCCGATTGCCGCAGGAGAGGAAAGACTTCTGAATGATGGAACGGGTGGGAAAATGCAAGCTATATAGCACGCGAGATGGTCAACAGTTCTCGAGCAGGCGAGCAGCAGCGGCAACTCGCTAGCGCCGAGAAAGGGAAGGCGACAGATGCGCCACGAAAGTCTCCCCTCTCAGTTGTAGTGCACAAAAGGTTGCACCGATCACGCTGCTAGTTGCCATGAAGTATGCCAGCTTGGGGTCCAAGATTGAGGAAGGACACGAAAAACAGAGCCGCAGATGGATGATGAGTTGTTCAGGCTTCATAACATTGGACGCTCTAGCATCGATCTTGCAGCAACACTGCTCAGGTGGACTTGCTACAGCCCCTGGAAGTTGGCACACGGGAATGCTGTACCCACTGCGAATACGACGATGGTGATGATGCACGTGTTCATTGGTTTCACATAGTTGAGCACCACTTCTACTACGAGTCTTAGACGGCTTACCCTCAAAGCTTAAGAAACGTCCACGAAACCACACGATTTTCTTTCTGCCGTCCACGTCCAAATACAAGGAAGAAATCGAACTCTCAAGGCAGCACATTGTCCAGGGCAACGGTTTACAGAATCAACCAAGTTATCAATCAATGTCATAAACTGTCCCCGGCCCCCAAGAAAAGAATAGGGCCGAGGGATAAAGGGCGTACAATAACTGGCCAAAGGAGCATCTAGTTAACTGGAACTGTAATCACTCATCTGTCTCGCTCTCTCTCTCTCTGTCATTATGATTATGTATGTAGTCGGTTGGCCCTGACTACGATCTTGAAAGATTCAAAAATCTCGCTTCGTCGGCCTGTGTCTGAGATAGATCAACGGAGTCTGTCTTTCTGTCTGTCTGTACGCCTGCTCGGTCGGTCGATCGATCTCAAGTTGACCCGGAAATCTGGACGAGCTTTATCTGAACTGTACAGAAATTCACCATCAGCATCCCTCGCCCGATTTCCAAGGCACGCAGACCGCGATCCTTGGCTCTCAAGGCACGAGCGTCGTTTACAGTATTGCCATACTCACTCTTAATCTTACATCTGGCAACGGCCATTGCATCGATCTGCCCAGTTGCCATGTCTGTCAGGCTCGGAAGCTCAGTCTTAGGATATGCTGCTGTAATGCCTCGCTGAAAGATGGGTGAAGAAAAGAAAGGGATGAAGGGTCAAGGGTCAGGGATCAAGCTCTGCTGCTGCAACCAGAAAGATTGGTCTGATCTGCGAGTGTTTCAGCTGGCACGACCCTTGATGACATCGAGGTCCATTTCTGTGGGATCCGTGGCTTGGAGCTCGTAGTGGACGCCGTCGAGCTCCCTTTTGAACTTGTCCTTGGAGCTCGAGTACATCATCTTGGATTTGACTCGAGAGGTATCGGGCGACCAAGCGATGAAGAAAATCTTGCTCTTACGACAGTTGTCAGGCGTGGTGAAGTCGAAGTCGAACACTCCGTACCTGCAATCGCTCTCCGGAAGGCAAGCAGCGAATGCATCGTAGTCCTCTGTCGGGGCTCCGGCCTTGTCCACCACAATCTGCTGCACTTTCTCGTCGATCTTAAATATAATGTACCGGTACGTCTTTTTCTTCTTCAGCTCCATGAACTTCTCTTTGCACTCCTCCGTGACGGCCATTCCCGACATTTTGGCCCCCATCGTGACGATCTACTCGGCACTGCTCTTCACTGCACAGCAACGATCCGATCACCTGATTGCCTCTTTCCCTCGACCCCCACTTCCCGCACCTGATCACTTCCACAAACGTCCTGCACTCGTCTTTCCGCCTCCGAACTCCTTCAGCTTGAATGATCTGAGAACTGATGCTGAGAACTGGAAAACTCACGACCAGCTGCGCACTAAAGCCTCACCAGATGAAGATACTGCGAAGCATTCCATACACGGGGTTGTGATGTAGTACAGAGCAGATGGTGATTGGGACGGCTGAGCAGGAACTCAGAAATGAGCCCAAGAAGAAGACGAGGACGAGGACGAGGACGAAGGGCTGCCGCTCCAGTCTCGATCAGAGGGAAACCCGGACCTGCCACCACCAGCATAGCATGCCCACTTACGCAAGCAACCGACCAAACTCCTACTCCCTCTTTACCAGTCTCAGAAGACAGACGCGTTTACTGTGCACTTTCTTTGATTCAAACGAATCAATTGCGTAATTCGGTGGATCCACAGGCTGACCATCTTCATTTACCATGCACTTTATGCTCCGATTAGTTTTTCCTAATCAGAGGTCGGTTTGGCTTTTCCTTCCCAATTTTCGATGCTGCTATAACATGTGGCTGATTCAGTCAGAACACAGCGCAATGCCGTTTGTTTTCCCGCCCCATTGTGGGAGACTGCGCGAGACCTCGGCTTTCCTCGCCTCTTTATCATATCCACATCACTTTCGTTCCCTTTCTCCACCTCTGTCCAGTTTAGAACACTTTAGAAGTTGGCTGGCATCCGCAATTTTGATCAGTACTGCTGCCTCTGGAGCCGGCAGCCCCTTCAGAATGTCCGCCTTCTGCTGGATCCGAGGCTTTGGAAAGCAGACACAGGTACAGAATCTGATCGCTGGGACTTTCCCCCAAACCTAGCAGATGGCTGGCTATGGTTCACGGATCCCAGCTTCTGAAGCAGTCTCGTCAAAGATAGCAGAGCAGGTATGGCTCACTTGAGCCTCGAATGGCAGCTTCTGGTGGGTAGTTCTGAGTGTGGTCCCGTGGGCTTTTGAAGTCCCCGCCCTTAGAAGACATCAAATCGCCATCTTAGATCAAACTTCTGACCCAGAACGTCTTGAACTTCTCAACACAAGTACAGCTTAAAGTGAGTGGTGGATAGCTGGAACGCCGAATCTCGCTGCGATTTCATTCTCATTCGCATTTACGACATGGCACGCAGCAGAGGAGGAACGTCTGCATCGTCCTCCTCCTCCTCCTCCATGTCCGAGCGTGCATTTCATGTTCGAGTGCCTGAAGATCGCCAGATACTTCCCTCCATGTAAACCGACCGAAGCCAGCCTGTGTGCCGTTTTGGCACGTCCACCATCACCGTCTGTCCACTTTTGCTGTCCCTCTCCCTCTCCCGATCCCTCTCGCGATGCTCTGATCTGCCTTTCGCCTTCGCCAATCAATCACCTTCATCGTCCCGCCCTCTTCTCCATGCGCTTTCCTTCCTTCTTCATCACCGCTACCTTTTCTGGAGGCTTGTCTCGTCGCGGCCACGCTTTTGCTTTGTGCTTATCCCGGAGTTCCAGGGGCGTGCCCTTTGCGCCTCTCCGGCTAGACTGAAGGCTGTCTCGGCCATGGCATCTTCGCTTTCTCCAATTAGGGGCAGGCTCGCAGGCCGCTAGGCCCGAGGAATCTCGGCAGTAGTCGATCGTCAGCTCCGCCTTTCACTTCTCTTATCCGAGCTCGTAACAGACGCGTACGATCGTCCGACTTCCATGCACGACAGACGTCTTGACCTCATGTCGATCGATCGCTCGACCTTCAATGCTGCCCCGGGCCCCTGAGCACATGCTTACGTCGGCGTCGAGCTGCGCCCATCAATGCGCAGCGCTCGCCCCCTGGCCTACTCGCCTCGTGAGCAGTTGCGCGATCCCGTCATCGCTCACCTCCCGACGACAGGACCAGGCCTCAGATCTTTGGACGCATGCTGCATAATTCCGCCTAATTATCGTCGTCCTTTCGCAAGTACGACGCCCCCAGTCTCGTCCGGGCACTCATGTGCTTTGGTTGCTTGCTGCGAGCTCCATTCCTCGCTACGCAATGAAGCTTAGCAATCAGAGCGACGCAGTAAAATCACCAGAAAAATCTGAAAACCCCGTCCAGTCGTATAAGGATGGAACCGAACGGGGTAACAATGTAGCAGCATATGATCGTGCGTATGTACCACGACGATGCTGATTTTTACCATCCAATCAGTCTTCTGGCCTCGCTGCCGCCGGGTCTGGTCTGAGCTCTGAGCCCCGCACTGCTCTCCTCTACAGTCGTGAGTCCGACTCGTTCATTAACTATTACGCTTGGCGTCATGTCAGCCCTTTCTTCTGATGAGCTTCCGGAACCAATCTCTGCTGCGCTTTCTCTGCTCTGGCCTCTGGCTCGACTCTTCCGCAATCTCTTTTTGCTGACCTTTGATGGCAAGCTTGAGTTTTCGAGAGCCACATCTGCTTCCTTCTGCACCAATGCAGGAAAACAGGACCTCTGATTTGGACATCCTCGAATTTAATATTTATTGAGTTGAGTGCGGCGAATCAGATCTCTATTGCGATTTTTACATAACGTGGCTACCTGATTCTTCATGGCGTACGTATAAATTACGGTAAGGCATCGCAGTATGTGGATTGAAAAGGGTAGTAACACGGACCAATTCGTCAGGCTACGTTTTGGAGTGATAGAAGACGCATCAGTTTATTACACATGGCCGTGACAGCCCGGAGTCCAAGAACAGAGCTCTGGAGTGGTTGCAATCAGCTGCAATAATGAGTTTTGAGATGTCTGCTGGGGTTTCCACTAGAGCATCAGCTTTCGCAGCTGAAATCTCCTCTTCTTCTGCCTTCATTGAAATCGATGTGCCTCCGTACCTTCACAATCGGACAAGAACGATCGTTGAAGCTTGTGATACTTTCCATGTGATAGCTCGGCTTCAGAAAGTGACCGGACGAGATGTTCACCCGAGGTTAGTTAGACTGCAGCCTAGAGTCTAGAGTCTAGGCTGGCAGACGGCATACGCTCACCGTCGTGTCGATCGAGCCACTCATCGAATCGATCGCGCACCGTCTCTCGCTCGGCCGAAGTGAGACACGTGTCGGTGACCTGTTTTCATCGCCTTGTGTCACAATTTAAGCAGGCGGCAACGCAGGAGGGGAAGAGTGAGCGAGTGACGGTGAAGTTTGTGAAATAATCATAACAATTCTGCTGTTTTGTAACTGGTGTAAGGAGTGACAGAATATGTAATTCAATTGACGTTTTCTAAACTGCTGTAAGGAGTGACAAACTGCGTTGTCTGTTGTAAATTCTGTGCGCAAGGAAATTTATTGAAAAATCATTGATCTCGAGGCTGCAGTAGTACAGGTCCATAAATTTTTTCATATGCCAACGCACACGGGAAAGTCTTCCTTAGTATACATTTGGGGACATTTTGCAAGCTGAAGCAGGGCAATTCCTTGGAATCGGCGTGCCTGGCAAGGTGTTGCAGATTTGCAGAAACGGCAGCAGACCTGTTTCTGGTGGCAAGATTGATGATGTGGTGAGGTTTGAACAGGTGAATACTCTGTCATCTGAACACCACGAACTCAGCCATGCTTATTTTGTTTTCACATTCATTCATTTAAGCTTTGCGGATTTAACAGAATCATCTGGTCCGCCCTGGACTCTCTCAAAGTCAAAACACGAAAATGTGGTGAAGATTCGAGATAGGTTTTTAGTTTCCACTGTAGCACTTCGAGGAAATCTCTTCTTCAGCATGGTCCACTTCAGTAAGTTGCAGGAAGTCATCCATCACCACTTATTGTAGCAATTCATCGACACTGATCTGATTGTAGACATGGGACCGGATCTGAGAAAGTGGATAATGGGAAACATACACGTCTTATGACATGGTGGGGACTATTGCGCTCTCCTGAAACCCTTCCCGATAGACGATCTCGAAAGCCACTGCATGTTAAAGGAGGTATTGTTTAGGCGAAGCTATTGTCGTGAGCTTCTTGCTGGGAATTGCAACTCCAGCCGAATCGGAGCACGGAGGAAATGTCGGTTTAGGGTAGAATAAGGTTTACTTCGATAAATGTAGCTAATTTTTCATTATCGTAAAGTATGATCGGATGCCAAATTGTCTTCCCAGTGTCTATTTCGCCTTTCTTTTTCAGTTTTTTAAGGATTCTACATTTATCGTCAAGGGTTTTTTATCCTTCAAGCTCGACGGCTAGAACTTACCAAAACTGTGGTATGCACTGAAAGTAGCTTGTACAGGATGAAGGGGATTATATAATTCTATAGAAGGCAAGTTCAAGACGAATGCTACAAGAGTCCATATTCGAAGCATACAGAATTACAGATGAAATGATCGAAGCTAGGAAGCTAAGCCATGGTTTGATTCATCCCTTTCTGCATGAATAAGCATAAGCTTATTCGAGAGAGTTAGGGACATTCTAAGAGAAAACTCACCGCTAAGTACCTCAAATGCACATCAAAGAACGCTTCTCAGAAGTTATTCCTAAATATACGAGTCAGGTTATAGTTATTGCACCTAACTTGAGATTCAAACTGGTCTTCATCTCGACTAATAAGTCAGCATTCGGGCATGTGTTACTTCTCATGTATAATCCACGGACCAGCTTCATTACAGTTCAGAAGTCAAAATCTGGTCTGCTATTTGATTGTCCAGAAATGTAGCATAACAATACCATACTACTTGAAACGTGTATTTAAGCTCAAAACTGTAATTTCCACTTCTGGTTCAAACTTTCATGCGATGGTTTGAGATTAATCTGAGATGTTTTCTTTATATTGATACAAGTTTTAAATCCAACTTAATTCGGCTGTAAGTACGAGAACTGGATTGTAAAGACGAAGCAATGAGATAGAAACAATTGTCTTGTGTAAATGGCAATAATTTTCACTTTCACTTGGTTTTGAGTACCGTCTTACTGGTTTCCTGTCAGATTGGTTGACAACATTTCTGATCTATTGCGCCGGTTTCACCCAGCAGTATCTGAAACTAGAAAATTTCTGTTTGGCCGCTTGAGCCTGTAAATTACAAATCTGAAAATGACATCTGTCTTGTCAAGTCGGTATCCAAGTCCTCTCGATAAGTACTTATTGATAATGTGAAGGGGATGAAAATGAGAGAAATGTTACTGACAAGGAATGATCGTGAATTCAGAAGTCAATTTATGACGTAATTTCTTATGACATAGTTCATGAATAGATTTGATGCTGATTATCCTCCTCGTCATCGGATGCTCACAAATATATATGTGCGACAGCAACTGAAATTTTAGAATGTTTGTGATTTTCTCAATAACAAGATTGGATCTCGATCGCGCAGTTATCTGATCGTTTCAGGGATTCAGATTTGGAAGAGTATAACTCCAGCCTGAGTTGGAAAATTCGAATTCGTAAGGTCAAAATCAAGTTCCAGATTCTTAAAGCATCTCATGGAGGGAATGTTCGAAAGCACAAGTTAGTGTTGTATGGGGTCAGGATATGGTTGCAAAGCAATGGACCCAGTTCACTTTTTGCCAAACATCCAATCTGATCATTGATGCAGTTCTGGAGTTGAGCCAGACAGCTCCTCTACAGTAGTTCTATGAAACTTCAAAATTCACTTCCTCAGATGAATTTCGCTTCTCTCAACTTAATTTCCCGAAGATCCCAAGTTACTACACAGAAGACGTTCCCTACGTAAAAAACCGATCCCAAGTTTCTGAATCAAGTGAGTTGGCTCTTACTGAAACTTATCGACGGTGCGCCACCTGCACAAGTCGGAGGACCTCGGCGTTCTCGAAATCGAACTTCACAAAACACGAGAAGATAATCGCCACACTTGTCACCAAACCGCATTTTCCATACGGTTGCGAAACATGTCCGAGACCTTAGTTCGTTCCGTGAACTCTCTGTAATAGCAAAATAATCCACAAGGCCAAGACATCAAAACAGTGGATTTGTTCCTCCTCATCATGTCTGGTGCTTTTGTCTGAATTGTGGTCTATATTTAGCCTTGCCTGAAAACGGAAGGCAAAATGGACATTGGGCAGAAAGCTTGGCATCAGATCATTTCACTGGAGCACGCCATTCACTATGACAATTTAGGCAATTTTTTCAAATAAATCCGAGAGGAGGGAAATTCTGTTGCACATTTCTTCCTTGCTCCAATAGACTGCAGGTGCAATTGCTAGCACGAAGTTTACGACATAAGCTTCACTTTAACAATACCAATTTTACCTGCAGTGACTTTGGGGATCGCAAAATGGACCCGACCCTGTCGTGTACTTTTTCCAATATCCACTTTCTCAACTCCGGGCTCTTGTCTACAAACATATCAGTGTGGATGAACTGTACCAGTGAGTGGTGAACAGTAAGTTGTGATGGTTCACTTCCTACAATGTTCTGAAGTGGGCAGTCTTGGAGAAGAGATTTCCACGTTTTTTCGGAGTATAGGCGAGAGGCTTGGGACCTAAATGCTTAAAGCCTCTAAGGGCTACAGTGGAAACTACAAACCTTTCTCGAATCTTCACCATATTTTTGTGTTTTGACTGTCTGGGAGTCCATGGTGGACCCAATGCTTTTGTTCAATTTGCAAAGCCGAAATGAATGAACGTGAAGACTCACAAATCATGCTGAGTTAGTGGTGCTTAAATGACAGACTATTCACCAGCTCACATCTCACCACATCATCAATCTTGCCACCAGAAATAAGGTCTGCTGCCGTTTCTGCAGATCTACACCACCATGCCAGGCACGCCGATTCGAAGGAATTTCCGAGAAGAAGCGAGCAGAGTGTCTCAAAATGTTAACTATGGAAGACTTTTACGTACCTGAATTGATCTTTAGCACATGTAATAACTTATAGACTTTAACCACTGCAAATAACTAATAGATTTTTACCACTTCAGCCTGGACATCAATCCCTTCGGAACAAACTCTCTTGCTCATATAATTTACAGCAGATAATCAAGCAGCAAGAAAATTAATCCTGACAGCAGTTGAAGGAAGAGCAAATAAATTGGTTTCGACCACCCAGTTCTCAGTAAATTCAGGATAGATTACAGACTGAGCATGCCAAAGCTAACTAGCTGCAGTCACGTATCTAAGAAGTGACTCGAAGTATTACTTGTTGAACCTCATTCTCACGAACTCCGCATCGCTACCCTGTCTCTCCAATCACAGTCCAATCTTTTTACCTGGTTTGCATGGCCGTATTCGTCTCTTCAAGAGCCTGCCGCTCGAATAGTGTACAACGAGTGTTACGAAGACCAGGTTAGGAAAGCCGACGCCATCACATCTTGAACACTGCATGTGGTGGGACCATGCATTGTTCAAAATGTTCAAAATTACACTCGGTTTTAAACACGTCTACCAACTGTAAAATTTATTTGTAAAACGAAATGACATAATTCTATCCTGCCGATTTTACAGTTGTTGGACCCACATTATTCAGAACAAGAACAGAACAATCATTCTAGGAGGTGTATCGAAATTCAAGGCGGACTAACCAACGTGTAAGTGAAAGAATTTCATCATGGTGAGACTTGCAACAAGCCACACTTACAATATTGTCCTCAAAATGTAATTATGATATTTCAACCGTATACTGATCATCTTCAGAAACATAACTGCGCGATTGCATAGAAAAGACACGTAAACATGAAAACTTGAAGGAAGATTTTGCAGAGGGTCACATTGCATGAATGTCTGAACATATGCGTGTAAGTGAAGGAATTTCATCATGGTGAGACTTGCAACAAGCCACACTTACAATATTGCCCTTAAAATGTAATTATGATATTTCAACCGTTTACTGATCATCTTCAGAAACATAATAGCGCGATTGATATGATTGCATAGAAAAGACATGTAAACATGAAAACTTGAAGGAAGATTTTGCAGAGGGTCACATTGCATGAATGTCTGAACATATGCTTGTCATTTGCATCATGACATTCTAAAGTCTTCAATTTCCTAACAAAATGCCAGTTCTAAGACCTTTCTTCATGCACTCCTCGCACACCCATGCATGCCCACCTAATTCTAGTCTCATGTATTTCACCTTATACAACTTGAAGATTGAGGAATAGCTATCTCGAAGCTTGGGCGCAAGAGTTTGCTTAATCCTCGACCATGCTTCTTTCAGCTCCTTGCTTTCCCCACCTTTTAGAACTGCCCTACGATCATGATCGCTAATGCCATCTAGTTTAACAATATCAGATTTCAAATCTTCCCACTCCGGAATTGCTTGTCCTACCCCGAGGCTCGCATCCAGTCCAGCCTTTGCAGCATAATACATGAGTTTGAATGAGATTTCAATAATTTTTCGAGCTAAAATTGTTGAGCTATACCTTAAAATAAATTTATGACATATTTTCTTAAGTCTCATAGCTATGTATTGTGATCATAATATAAATTTTTATTCCCAAATTACACTTGAAATTGTCACTATTGAAAAATATCATGTCTCTATTCAATAGTCATATGAAAACGATTCATCACTACACTTAAAATTGTCACTATTGAAAAATATTATATCTCTATTCAATAATCATATGAAAACGATTCGTCACTACTCTCAATAGTGACGTACCGTTTTTATTGAGCTGATTTACAAGTCAAAGAGTACTGGTTCTGAAAATTTATGTCACTCGGACGAAGTGACACTATTAGAGATTTAACTCTGTATATGAAAGATTATGAAGTAGATTATATATATATAAATTAATTAATATACATTAATACTTTTGTGTTCATTCACTCCAAAATAAACTTGGTAAATATGTGTGAAGGTGACTAGCCTTAAGATTCAGTGTTAACGTCACTTTAAATATGACATTTAACGATGGATGTTATTCTTCATTCGATTCAATGTTCTTTACCGTCAGTGTCAACGTTACTTTAAATATGTAGATTCACAATGAATCCTCATCACTCTTTCAGATTTCGATTTTAGCAAAACTGACTATGAACAATATGGCGGTTGCAATATCCACTTTGATTCACATCCACATCCATACTTCAGACCATTTATTTCACCAATGACCAACTCCCATTCCTCATTGATGTGTAATTCTAACTTGTGTGGCTTAACCCGGATGAAATTCTGCCCCGTTATGCAAGTTCCGTTTGTTCCACCATATACTAAGATCTCACTTCAACGATAATCCCCACCTGGGAACATACCATCACATCAATAACCATTCTATCGGATGTAAGAAGGATATGGAAGTCATGTTTGTGGACAAAAATTCTAAGAAGATGCATACAATTGAGAACCTAAAAACCGAACATGGTTTTGCTCCAAAACGGATTGGAAGGAATCCAATTCCAGGACTTTCTACAGAAACTATTCATAGACAAGTGACATGGCATAGTCTAGCGAATTTTCAATTTTCACGCAGATAACATGGCTTTCAGCAAACAAACGAAGATTCGAGCCACAACTTTGAAATAGGCAAAAGGAAGACAGATAATGATCCACCGCCAAGACGATGCAGCACAGCTAATGGTCACTTCCCACGAGAATGTAAGGAGTACCACAAAATGTCTCACATATTAACACGACGAATACCAAAGGAGAATTATAGTTTAAAGTCCTCATCATCAGACTGGTAACCGATTTTTCTGCTACTTTGTAGATCTATAAGGTGACATTGAGATATACGGAAGAACTGATTAGTTGCTCATGTCTCCAAATTTGACCGCTTCACTCAAACGAAGCTCTAGTCAAAAACTTTGTCTGACGGAATCTCTGATAAACTTATCAATGTCAGGCAACTACCTTCCCTTCTTCTCGAGCTTCAATGCTTTCAAAGAATTGTGAAGCCAGATCCTTATGTTCTAACATATCTACGAAACTTACAATCGCAGCTGGAGTCTTCGTCCATCTACTTAAACAGCCAAACTCAACAGGAACGATACAAATTTGCACAAGCAGACTTTCAGTCAGACAAGGCACTTGATTATTCAAAAAATGACTCGCAAATCTCAAAATTACCTACATCAAGACCTTGTTTGCATCAAAACTTTTCTCTAGCTAGAGCTACGGGGAAAACCCTCCAGCAGACAACGATGCATACAAGACCCCAATCCGAAGTCACCAGCCTGAAGTGTGGAAATTGTCGCCGGATGATCGGCAAGTCCTTTCTCAAAAACCAGCCCATAGTACACTCGTGATTAGCAGTTCTGCTAATATTCTTGACCAAAACAGCTTAGCTCTATGATACAAGAAGTCCCTATTGCGCGGTGGATGAGGACTCCAGATAGGAGTTGAGAATTTTTGTGGCCACTTGTGTGACGGAGCTTTCTTGGTCTTCGGCAATCTTGTCTAACGCGGCGTACAAGTCCTTATTCAGGTTGATGATCTTAGGTCCCAACTTCTTCTTCTTTGGCAGGCCCTCGAAGGACTCTACGTAAGCTTTCAATTCTTCAAAGCCCTGCAATAACATCAGTGACGAGAATGGTTCAGATGCTGCTTAAAGCTCATGGCTAACAACATGAGCTTACAAAGGTCACTCTGTTACACAAAAGGGCTCACATCTGGGAGCAGTCCCCATATTTCTATTCGAACATGACCAGATCCTTAACCAGGGCAGATTCTCGATATGGCCGAAAACTCAGAAAAGGAAGAGCAATTGCAGGTTTTAAGTAGGTGAAACATACCACTCTCATAGCAAAATCTCCAAACGACTCGTCCTCATGACTTCGCTCGTTCTTCCAGAAATGAAACATGGGCTCAAAGACCTTCTCCAATTCCTGGATCTTCACCTTGTCCATGAAGATTTGCGCTAACCTAGTTTGGTTTGAAGTTCCTCCAACCCAAAGCTGCTCCCAGAGAAATACGAACGTTAGGTATAGTTTATTTGAATACAAAATGTAGAGGACACACAAAAATTCAAAAACAGCATTTGTAAGCTTGGCCATACTCTAGTACCTGATAGCTATTGGGTCCGTCACCAACCAATCCCAGCTCTGCCATGTAGGGCCTGGTGCATCCATTAGGACATCCAGTAAATCGGACAACAAGTGGAGTCTTCGAACCGAGCCCGACCTGGAAATCAGAGAAGATAGCACACTTAGGATTGTGCTGCCTAAATTGAACTGTCTTGTGAGTCTCCCTTCAGCAATTGGCAAACAGTCAACATGCTCTGAAAAAAATGAAAGCTAAAAAGACTTATAATGTGTTGACATGTTTGAACTGCAAAGTGATGCAGTATAGGGGCAGATGCAGACAGCTTCTGTCAAATAACATCATGATACCTTTTTCATTGAAGCGCGGATCCTCTCAAGAATGGCGGGGGCCCCGCGTTCGGCTTCAGTGATGGCAAGTGGACAAAGGGGAAGGGCAGGGCACGCCAAAGATGTGACGTTCAACGTGTCGATGGATCGTGGAAGCTGAGACACAATTGGAAAAACGGTGTCAGAAAGCACGAATAGGCGAAGCTTGATCACCGAAACCAAGTGGACAGTGCTCACGATGCAGTTACGTTGAATACATATCTTCATGTAATACACAACTTGGAACTCATGATGCTTTTATGAAGACCATGGGTGGACAACCGTTACAAAAAACCTACCACACCCTTGCAGCTATACAAGAATACAGTAGACACTCAAGGTGGAAAATTCACCTTGACGCCAACGGCAGCCAAAATCTTGTTAATCTTCGGCCTCCATGCTTGTCGAATGTCACAAAGAATGATGTTTTGGTTGGCTGTGAGTCGGACACTTAGGTTATACTTTTCAATAATTTCCCGGAGAGCCTTCTTCAATTCACCTTTCACTCTACCGTTCTCTACGTGTAATCCATAGAACAGCCTTCCGTCTCCCTGTAACACGCACCAAAATTGTTAGATTCAGAAAACGATCGTGGAAAGTACTAGAAGCTGCTCGAGGGTCCACAAGCTGGCACACAAAAAACAAGCCTATTGATTCAGAGTTCCGGATACGATGAGAATAATACTGACCTGCTCACCCCAGCCAAGGAAACTCTTGAACTCCCATGGTGGCAAATCCCTCAAAGGGAGGAAAGATTTTCCATAGTATTGCTCGGTGACTAGCCTGAACTTTTCCATACCCCAGTCATCAATAAGATACTTCATTCGCGAGTAACGTCTTTCGTCCCTCCGACCATGATCCCTTTGGGTAGCAACGATAGCCTTGACAGCATACAGAATATCGTCTTTCGGCACGTAACCAAGAGGTTCGGCCAAGCGAGGAAAAGTGTTTTCTATTCTGTGAGTGCGACCCATTCCTCCTCCGACCTTCAAAAACGACGGCACCAACTCTACGCGTAAGACAATTTACTTGTAAAAAAAACCCTAACAACATTTGTCCTACCAACGACATGACCAAGTAGACGAAACTGGATGTAATGTAGAGAGGTTGAATCACTGCAAAAATCGTCAATCTTTTGGCATCTCAAAAAATTCACACCAGAGAAGGAAATAGCCCAGTTTTTGAAACTTACGTAGATGTTGTAGCCCTCGAGCTCGCCTTCTTCGTCCATGATCGTGACAATTCCAACATCGTTGGTGAACAAATCCACGGAGTTATCGCCCGGGACAGTCACTGCGATCTTGAACTTGCGAGGAAGAAACTGGACTCCATAAATAGGTTCGGGAGAATTTTCGAAATTGCTTCCGTTTATGTTCGTGTTACGTGCTTCTGTGACATCCGGAGGCTCTGCAGACATAATTTTCTCGCCGTCCACCCACATATCGTAGTACGCACCAGCTTGTGGAGCCAACAAGGCCGCAAGCTTCTCGGCTGTCTCTTGGGCGATGACGTACTCCGGTTTGTCAAGATATGGAACTGCAGGAGCCAACACGTTGCGATTCAAGTCCCCGCAAGCTCCTAAAGTTGATCCCATGTTCTTAATAACGGTGCGCATTACGGTTTTCAAATCTTGTTTCAAAACCCCGTGCAACTGGAAAGTCTGCCTCGTAGTCAACCGTAGGCTTCCAATTCCGAACTTGTCGGCGAGTTCATCCATGGCCAGGTACAGCGCGTTGCTAACTTTTCCTGCGGGCTGCTTAGTTCGGAGCATGAACGAGTAATTCCTGCTCTGCCTGACATCTCGGTCATATTGCTGGTAGCTTCCATGGAACTTGATCAGCTGGGTAGACGCCTCGCTCACGTTGGGCGCATCATTCTCCAAGTCCTCGTTCAAGGGCCAACGAAGAAAGTTACTCTGCTCCTTGAAGATCTCAACTTTGCTCCTCTTCGTAGTGGGCGAAGGTGCGGTCGCTGTAGGTCTCACTTGCTGCTCACATGAAAAGCAGCGAAAATCATAATCAAATAAACATAAACTTGCAAAAGCTCTCAACCCAAACGAACCGACATCTAGAATGCATCCTCCCAAAACCCGCTCGCTATTCAGCAAGCCCCTGCTAAACATGTAGACAACAGGAGATGGAAGACCGAGGTCCAACACATTCCTCAGGTCGAACTCAGCGATCACTCCCTCACATCCCTCGAATTGAGACAGATTCATCGAGAGCACAAACGCGTAGTATCCTTCCACTTCAATCTCTAGACCAAATCGACTTCGAATAGAGAGCAATTAAGATATCACGCATTCGAAGTGAACTTCTCGGAAACGCTTGCACCCGAGCGAATTCAGAAGCTCCACTTCGCCTCTACTCAACACAAAAGACACCGGCCGACTCCTCCACCTCGGCAATGGCATTCGACATAAGAAACAACCGAGCAAGACGACATCATCCGAACCTCTCCACGAAAAATCCACTCCAAACTCCATCCTCAAAACCTCGACAATCCGAGCTGCAAATCCTTACCGATCCACCGCTGCCGACGCAGGAAATGCGCAGAGGAGCCGCAGCGATCTTGTCCGCGGGCACACGGCTGGAAGCTGGCTCGGCATTCAAGCTGAGCCCAGCCAGCGACCCGGCAAACAACGAGGACGAAGAAGCGGCTAACGCCATGTCTAGGTTCATGGCCGGAGCGCGTGTGCTTGCCACAATCCTCTCCTCCTCCTCCTCCTCCTCCGAGTCTCTCCAAAACGAACACCAGCACTACCTCTATCCGCTGACTACTATCTGAGCCCGCCTCCCTGCCTCCCTTTTCCTTCCTTCCGTACTCTTCCTTCTTACGTGAATCGATCGGGGATAGAATCCGCCTCTGTCCGTCTGCCTGTCAATCTGTCTGCTCGAGCTTCAAAATCGCAGCTCCCTAAAAGGTCCGCGAGCCGGAGACCGCGGAGCAGACCGGGGGCCAGACCGACCTGCGAGCGCCAAGGTGCGAGTACCACCCGAGAGGGCAAAGTGGCGACGACGAGCAGAGAATCTCGCCCCAAACGGGCCTACGGCCCTGCGTCTCTCCTCCGCGGTCCCTTCGTGGTGACCTTCTCCCAACCGGGTTAGGTGCCAACGAGAGAGTTTCCAACTGCGACCGCGTAGGCTGATCTCACGGCATGAGTCTCCCCGGCAACCGCACCCGGTTGAGCACTGCGCTAACCTGGGGCCGGAGTGCGAGCGGAACCATGCCTTTTTGCGTGGTCGAGTAAGACCGCGCACTCCAATCTCCTCGCGATGGCCTCCGAGGCCTTAACTCGTGAATGGTATTTACTCCAAAACCCAGCAGCGGTCGTACTCTCTTTACTTCTCTTTTAGTTCGTCCCATCCAAAGATAATCTTAGCGTAGCCTCCTTTAAGTTGTAGGATTTCATTGCTCTTCCTCGTAGGTGCAATATATAGAAGAGCACCCGATGATTGATATTCCTCCAGATGCAATGTTGAATACGCAAAGTTCGACTAGATAGTTCAGATATCTATGTGAAGCATATTTTCTTGGGGTGTATGCCATGTTTCCATATTGGGGTCTTTGTACCCTTTCTGTTATTTTAGTTGGTGCTCAATTGAGTTCGTCCATTTCTTTTCCAAGTTCCAATCACTCTCGTTCTTGAATTTTTCTTACTTCTAGTTATTGAATATGGTCATTTACTTTACGTAAATGACCATATTTTTATCTGCAATTCACCATTTTATACAATATGCATTATTATATTGTTTTTATTGTTGACCTTCTCTCGCTTAATTCAATCCATTCTAGTTTGTACGAATGTAAGTTTAATCCATTCCCAAGGATGGGATATTGATTGTTAATGCGTGGTTTGTAAATGTGATCATAGAAATTGGGAGTAAAAAATTGACATTTGGACATTCTTTTCTTCCTCTGCACGAATGAAACACGAGGACTTCAAGCTTGCCATCTTGTGTATCATCGTCGTCTTGTGAACGATTGTGTGTAGCAGCATGGCTGCGCAAGGACCTTCATGAACCTGGCGACAATCTCGAACATGACAATGGCAATCGAAAACTTTCCATTCGAGGAAGAGGACCACGATCGACTTGATGAGATGGGGACAAAATTTCCGAAAGCAGATCTTATTTTCTATAAATAATGGCGGACAAATTTGCAAATGACGAAAATGAGGTGGCCTTAATCCGCAGCATTAGCGCAGGTTCAATGCACCTGCGTCCACTGGCGTGGATAATCTCGGGAACACTGCTGGAAACGGGGCCGTGACATTCGGCGGACGGGATCTACCACTTGAACTCTGAGGTAGCCGCGTAACGGGACCTCTCCATTGGGAACGCAGCGAGCCTATCAGAAGACGGGTGATGCAGCGAAGGTCAGAGATTTTTTCCCGCAGTAAGAAGCTGAAGAAGAGCCCTTCGAGGCCCGAATGCGTGACAGTCGGTAATTCAGCCACAACTGCCTCTCGACGTCCAGATGCTCTGCATCGACGAGCAGACCTCTGACTCGGGGACGAGCGCCGGACGAGGAAGACTCCGGACAGACCCTCCTGCAGACGGAGAGGGGCTTTCCACTGCCCCTCTACCCCCTCTCTCCGTCGTTAAAATTGCTCCGGCGACGTTCGAAGGTGATGATTTCGCCGGCGGAAGGTCCATGCGAAGGAGCCCGAGGCCGAGGACTGAACAAACGTGCCGCAAGTTCGATTCGTGTCATTCGGGAACTCCGTGGTCGCGTTCTGCACGAATGTAAGTTCCACCGGGTAAGTTCTGGCGTTGTGGTCTTACTGAGGCTTGAAAAGTCGTCTAGCAGGTCCTACGCGAGTGTAGAGGTCGGGTATGGGGAGCATACGTGCATCGGTTCCCCCTACAAGGCCAACGTACCGATTCTCATCGAGCGGCTTTTATGTGATCTCCAGACGAGTCCTCCGGTATCTTCTGCATCTTCAGTATCTTCGACAAAAGAAAAGGTTGCCTTTCGACGTGTTATACGGGAGGATTTAGAGGTCGCAGTGTACGTCGTAGGTACCACAAGAGGTTGTCGATTATCGTGTAGATGTCATACGAGAACGGCCTGGTTTGCTGATCCACACACACCTCATATACTGACAATTGTCTACGAGATTTTGCGTCAGCTTATGGAATTGTTCATACCATCTCCCAGCAAAAGCACCTTCTTCTCACGTACCCTGCCATTAGCAAACACACATCACCGTTTGGTACATTGATGTCAGATATTTACGTTGATCGTAACAAGGGATCTGGGTTAAAGATATAGTTGGCTCCTAAAAACCTTGTAAAATGTTTTGACCGTGACTTTTGGAAATTAGATGAACTTGGTTACATTTTTAATCCCAGATTTATATTATCAAGAACCAAATGTAATACAAATTACCATATTACCACAATTTCTCTACGTTTCTTCAGTCAAATAAATGAGGATTTCGCATCAACATTCCTCATCAAACGTTACACACTATCTCTTATCGTACTCTCAATTCCTATAGTTATGTCATGTACCAATTACCACTTGACATGTCCAACACTTATCAAGAGATATATATATAAGAATTTTAAAATGTATTTTGAACATGAAAAAATTATTCCTATGAAAATTATATGCACGATTGCTAACAAGAAATATATATATATATATATATATATACCTTTTTTAATAAATCATTGTACGAAAAGACCTCTCATTTTGATTATAAAGAATGAAATTTTAACTAATATTTTTTATTTTTTTCTGGTAATAATATCCAATCACTAATTATAATCCATCTCAGCAGATTGAGGTTGTTGTTATTGGATACTTTGTAAAAGCGTAGAAAAGCTACTTTGTGTTTACACACCATACTTTGCAAACTCATGACCTGCCCTTCCTCCTCTGCCTCCTCTGCCACACATTCACAATCGGAATATCGTCCTCGCCCTACGTGTGTCCAGGAAAAATATAAGAGCCAACTCACTTTCCATAACAAGACAGCAGGTTACCTTCGCATCCAGCGCAGCAGGACCCGGGGTCGACCTGACGAGCACCTGAACCGGGGTGGGGTTTGGTTTGGTCCCATATGGTTTGGTTAGGTTCGGTTCCTTTTGTTGGAATCTGCTGAATGACCACGACCACGTCAGCCCTTTAGATCTTGTTTGGCACCGAGTGGCTGATTAGTCTGGACCGTAGAACCAACCGTCTGCATGAGGACCGGGAGGAAAAACCGACGGTCACAGAGAGAGAGAGGAGAGGAGAGGAGCGAGAGTCGTCAAAGACCAAGACTGGAACTCGTTTGTATAGTTCATAAGAGTACTAGACTATGGGAATTCATCGTCACTCAGCACATCTGAACACTTGACCTAAACTTATCAGATTATTTCCCAGCCTAAAAAAAAGCACAAGGTTTAATGCAAATAAAAATACTTTCTATGTGCATATACCCTTGACACATATAATAGAATTATTCCTGCTTATATTCATACTTTGTATTTTCTCAAACTCTAAGTGTTTCAAAGTTTTCCACTTTTTAAAAATGGATAACATCATGCGCTTATACTTCCGTCAAATAAATAAAAAAGATGGACTTCAAAACATATTGATAAAGTTTATTATGATTAGATATAATTATAATTTACTTGAAAAATATAAAAACTTATAAACCAAAAAAAAAAATCAAAAAATAAAATTTCATATATAAGTTTTATACAACTATATATGATTGAATTAACATATTTTCTACATGAAAATTTAATTCTTCTATTTTAAATGTATAGTAATTTTTAGTTTTTTGAATGAATATTAAAACACAACTGAATTTTGATAGCAACTTCATATTGATTTGAGAAAATTTATAATAACTTTAATAAACCAATATTTCAATAAACTTCTATGTTCAAAACACATAAAATAACTAAATCCATATCTCATGACAATATATATCAGACGTTTTACTTCTAATGTTGAAACAAGATAAAGTAAGTCATTTTTCAAGTGTATTTAGTTTTTTAAAATAAGGATATTTTTAAATCACTAAAATGTATATTCATGAAAAATTTGCCTTTTTTTATTTTTTTATTCATCAAAAATTTTAAAAATATCTTAGTTCTATTTTAGTAGATAAAATAATTATTTTGATCATATATTTAGTACATGATTTTTTATTTTGAACATAAATTCTCTTAAAATAAATTCAAAAAGAAATTATTTTTTTCCCCAAACATCTTCGAAAGAAGTTCATCTATGTTATATTTAGTAGACTAACTAATTTGATAAGTAGATATATCACTTATGTGGTAGATGTTTAATTGTGACATAATTTACAAAAGAGATGGTCATGATAGACAAGTTGCAACATTAGTTTACAAGTCAAACAATAAGAAGTTGATGAAAACATTTCTATGTCCAAGGTCATGAAAAGAACATCAGAAATTTTAGAATTAACTTTAACAAAATTTTTATACTTCAATATTGAATTTCAATTGAATTTTGTATACTTCAATTAATTTTTTTCAATATTGAAAAAAATTAATTGAATTAAACTGTTGTTACAGTAATCTGCAAATGAGCCAAACACTGCAGATGATTGTAAGTAGAATTTTTAAATTGCGAAATTAAATAGAAATAGAAAAATCTAGAGGTGATTATCAATTTTTTTGTTTTTAATTAAGTCATCCAATTTATGATAATTTAATTGAACACACCAATTTCAATTTATATGTGACATCACCACTAATTTCAACGGCTACAAAATTTTCAAAGACTTCTTACATCTTAATTCACATGATTTCATAGTATTTTTAAGATATATTTTTCTTTCAAGTTATGTTACACTCATCAAAAATTATTTAGTATTGTGAATAAATTCTTATTAAATTTGAATGATTATATTATTTCTTTATAAATTTAGGTATCTCATATTATATGTTTAATGAACAAAGAAAGAAATTAAGAATTATTTACTCATTG